GACATGGAATGGGCCCGTCTTTGATCCCGTCAAAATGGATTTTTGGTTATTTTGTTTTTTCCAACCCGTTTGACGATAGTTTGATTACATATTATTTTGTGCATGCTTCTCGAGTCTTCACATAATGTCGAGGAGTATACTGGATTCGCTTCTGATTCGTGCCGGTTAATGCGTCATAACTCACTGGTAAACGCGACACGAAACAATAATAAAATATTGTGTATAAAAAAAAAAGTAAGCAAGACCTCTCTCGTCCTCGTCCCGTCCACCGTATATGTGGTGTTGCGTTGTATAGAAGTTTTCGCCGCTCCCCTTGCCCGTGTAGTGTCGTTCTCGTGTCCTGCATCCTATACACTTGCGTCTTGTTCTTCTTCATATTTTTCTTCTTTTCTTTGGAACAATGAGACCGACTGCGGCAAACGACTAGTGTGTGTGTGTGCGCGCCACCACCGCGTTCAAGGCCAACGCACGTACACTCATAATATTATTATACATGTAGGTACAGCTCCGCTACGGTTTTTTTATTTTTATATATTTCTTTCTTTGTATAGGTACTTGTGTTCGGAGAGAGGTGAGGCGACGAGTTCGTGTGCCGGGAGGTCTACGTCGCCTCGTATATCATATATATATATATATATGTTTTATGTATAAGTATTAGTACTGGTACATGATAATATAGTGTATGTATATCGGAAAAAAAATAATGGCGAGGTAAACTGCAAACGCGGCTATGACGTTTTCGCAATAGACGGCGAGAGAGAGCGAGAGAAAGACAGAGAATTCACTATAGTGAACGTATTGTAGACCAGAGTGTTGTGTTATAAATAATGGGATGAGGACCTAAAGGGGTTATTAAACAAGTTTTGATTTTACAGCGCGTGTCGACAAACCTTTTTATGTTGGCATTTATAATCTAGAACGCCCCCAAATTAGCAGAGCTTGTTGGGCGAGGAGGTGGGGCGGCGAACATTGCCTGCTTGGCAATGCTACGGGCATCGAACCCAGTACTTCCAGCTCACCGACAAGTTACACAAGTTGACGTTTTTCTATCTGTCTTTGTTTATGTGATTTTTAAAAGGTTTATTGCAAGGGGGGAATCAAAATAGCCCACGAGAACACATTAAAAAGTATCATTTTTAATTTGCTCTCTTGTATGGTTCTCATTACTTGGCAGGACTGGCTTTTGAGAATAAATGACATTTTCGGTAGGTGGTACTTGTTCAGCGTCGCATAAGAGGTAGTACAGTATGTTTAAACGCCGCAGTCGGGTGGTCGCCTGGGGATGGGAGGGGGGCACCGGTGCCGCTATGCAAAATACATATTAAGTAGACTCCGGAAATGCCATTCGCACCGCGTGTTCGATTTCTTGTAGGTATCTTTGGTTTTTTTATTTAAAGCGCCGGTAGGTGGGGACCATTGTTGTTTTTTGGTTTATGCCTTTTGTTTCTTCTCCGCCGACATAACCCGCACCGTATACATTGTATATACGAACTAGGGACGGTCGTAAGTTATTATTTTATGCGCGACAGAAGATAATGTAAGCCGTTGCAAATCGCTGCCAATTTGCCGACAACGTACACCTATATGACGTATATACTTGCACAGCTCTCGAAATATACTCACGCGCTTCGGTCCCAGAATAAACGTCTCGGCCGCCGTCGTTAACATAGTCATCTTACATTCGCACTATCATGAATTTTAGCCAGCACGTTATCTGTTCTAAACGAACAATTCAATTAAAAGAATCTACTTGAACTTGTACAAAAGAAAACCACAAGGCAAAAACAAAGAGCCCTCGTTTTAAACTATATGTGCAGCTCATCGTTTTTGCTTGTGGTCTTCAAATAATAAATTCTTGCACAAATTGGATAATTTCAACGGGCGAGTTAATTGTAATCAGGAAAAGATTTAAAAGTACAAAGATTATTATGGATGATTGTCAATCACGTGTGGCTCAGTGGGCAACCCCACAGTGAAAGGTTTCCTTCTCAGTCTTTAGAGATTAAATACTTGTTAATTATGCATAAGCTATATTTTTTATTCGACCAATTTCCCAATATATTACCCAACCAGTATGATGAAAAACTATGGTGACACATATTATTGTATAATTAATTATATTACAACTTTTCAATGAAATATTATAAAAAAAAAATTTAATTACAATATTTGGACTATTTACTTCAATGTATTCAGCAAACAAATGTTTTTAAAAATGATAAAATTATGGTTTCATTGGAGATTAAGTATTTTAAAAGATTATTTACAAAAATGTTTAAGTATTATGAAAGTATTTCTAATATATTACGTATATTTTAAATAATATGACAATATTTTCTTTCATTTAAAAATATTAAAACCCTTTTTGACAACATTTTAAAACTATTAATATTTTTGTGCTATGTGGGCAGTGTCTATAAATAACTGACCTGGGTGATTGAATACGATCATATATCTTATAACGGACTCTGGCCAAACTATTTATGACATGTAAATTTCAGATTATAATAGACTATATGATGTTACACGATGTAATTATCAGTTAACCGCCTAATATATTTGATATATTTAACATCTTGTTTTCGATATCTAAACTAATTTAGTGATTTGTTACTTAATTTGATTTGTTATGTAACTGAATGGGTAATTGAAATGTCATTGTCATGATAATTCAGCGATAGAAGTTCAACGAGTTACCTGTTAGACCTATTAGGTTCTACTAACAGCATAATGTATAAAATGCGGTGCATAGAAAACAGGACGGGTGATTTCATTTATGATTTACGATCTAAAGATTTACTGTATGATATATTATAGTCTGAAGCGAGTAGGTGATTAAACTTATAAAATTCTAATATATTTACGCGTTTATGCTTGATCTAACGACCATCGATAATTGCTTATTTCCATAGTAGCGTTGTCCGATCAATAAAACGTATCTAACATTTCATAGCATAATAATATGCTTTTTCATGTGCCAGGCAAGACGCCAGGATCACTTTTCACGACTGCTAAGCGAACTTCTTTCTCTTGTAGACGGGAGTTTAGTCGCCTACTTCTATCCAAAAAAGATGTATACCAACTTAGGTTACAACACTTGTATGCATAAGTAATTTAAAAAAAGACGAAATACTGGCCGAGGTCAATCGAAAACGAAATTCAATTGTATTTTGTTTTAGAAGAGTATTTTTTATTATGTGAAGGGTTGTCCATAAGACTATTGTCATGATGTGGTGTATGTATCTCTTAAAAATGAGTTTAAATCTAAGTAGATTTCCCTTGTGTTTTTTGCAAACCTCGTCAACATTGTAATATTATCACACGTTGAGCAAATCGTCGTCTCGCGAAAAACATGATAACACATATTATAATATTATAACACGTTTTGATTATGATAATGCATCTGTATATAATCGTCGGTCGTTGCGTCGTTTGAACTTGGCGGAACGTCAGTAGGTCATTGGACATGTGTAGGAAATCACGTCGTGCTCGCGGGAGGTCAAAATCGCGCATGTACATTAATAACACTTAACTTGTTTTATGGTAAATACAATATTATGCACGATAATATGTTATTGGCGCAATACATAGAATTTTGTAGCGGGTCATTTAGATGCGGAGAAGCGCAGTGTTATTGTCTGTATAAGAAGATTTGCTATTCGCCTTAAAATCTATTCGTTACCTACTCGGTCTGGGCCACTGACATTGAGGAGCCGGATGGAAGTGTTGTTATAATGCAAATTTTTTGTGCCGTTAAGGCTGTACCGCATATCTATAGTAACGGCGACTATTATACATACAGGTATGTAACGCCATACAATTAGGATTTCCATTTACATATTACAGTACGGGTTGCCCAACCAACAATCGTCGTTTGGCGCGTGCAATTCACCTGCGATTATGGGTTTTCCCTCGAGATTTTCTTACACAATGGTTGGGCAAACGTATGAGAGCTTGTCGAATACTATGCGGTATATAGGTGTTCGCACTTACGCCCGTTTAATTGGTTTACCGTAGTGTACAGTAACAATGATTTTTAAACGCGATGACTCTTGAAATCCGATCGCTCCGTGGAGAAAACGAAACTAAGATTTAGGATTATATAGGATCGAGATAGGAATATCATTGTTCGTCATTAAAATATGCACCACGACCGTTTAACGCAACTAATTTGCAAACGAAAAAATAATTTGCGACGAAACGTATGATGAGTTTTTTCTCCGGTCTGTTGAAATAGACGAAGCTAAATAAACGGTTATTATACGTAATACAGTTACAATACATGAATCATGCAATTATAGAATTCTACTTATGGCTTATTCTTACTGCAACGTACAGCAGAGTTTGAGCAGAGATTGTTTTTTTTTTTGGAAAGGAACCATAAAATATTTTTAAGATTTTTTCGCTTAATCTCAATCTTTTTCAATTTTTAGTATTATAATATAAATTTAAAGGTCTCTTATAGTTAAAATCCATATGTACTTATATTTTTATAAGTTTTTTTGAAGTACGGAGGTACAACACGTACCATAAGTAGTGATTTACCCAATTTAAATATAAAAAAATAATCAGTTAAAAGTATGCTAATGAAATCTTCTCCGGTAAACATTAATATCCTTTTTATGAAAACGGTTGGTGGGTAGTTATAATAATCGCCTATTTTTAAAGTAAAGGTCTATTTGTTGGTATTTTATATACCTATAACCTTGTATGAGATCCCAAATTATCCAAGTTGGAAGTATGATAGAAAACTTTCTGCTTATTTCAAAGAGTCTTTAAAATCTAGATCTTGTGTAACGTCGTGGTGCGAATCGATCTTATGATAATAAGTTGTGTAAACTACTATAGTGCTTAATGCAGCCTTAATAGGTTGTCGGAGTCATTATTGTCGCCAGGTGATTTGACAAATTTAGAGAATAGTGTAATTATGTGATCGATATGAATCCTTGTGCGCGTAACGCTCTTTAATGACGCATGACGATTTCCATTTTGTTTTTTAGCTTATCGACGAGCTGGCGAGGAAAAGAGCCGACTACACCAAGCACCTAGAAATATACCGTTCGATGAGATCAAGATTTGAAGAACACTACATCAAAAGTAAATTTTATAATATTAAAACTTTTTTCATTACTCGATACAATCCATTCAAGTGGAATGCCGCCGCAACCCTAACCTCATTAATTGTTCACTATTTCTCATAATTTTTATAATGTTCACCCACTCCGTCCATTGCGTCTGTTTTATACAAATTTTCTTCCTTATTTCGACGAGCCCAAGCCGAGTCAGCTTATGCTCTGTCCGTTTTGCTGAAAGTGACGAGTCCAAAAGCACTTGCTGTAATACGAGTAACACTTCATTAACATCTTCGTTTGTTAGGCGGACGAGGAGGCAGAAAGCTGGACGACGTCCGAGAGAAATACCAAAGAGCTTGTCGACGTTTGCATCTGGTGCACAACGAATACGTTTTGTTGATCGCCGAAGCCCAAGAGTCGGAAAAAGACTTCCAGACGGTCATGATGCCCGCCTTTATGCAACACCACCGACAGGAGTTGGAGAACATTGTGGCGGACTGGTGAGTAATAACTATTATTTATTGTCCTATTCGATTTCAGCTACTAAAATTTATGTAAATGAATGGACGGTTGCAAAAAAAAAAAATTTGTAATAAGACGTCTAGTTGTTTTTAAAAATCGAGTATTGCTCAACAACGAAACTCACTTCTCGCGAGAAGCCTCGTTAGTGTTTATGTGTAAAAAATGCATTAGACAAGGACACAGTGTTTTGTCTTTCAAACCGCATGTATAACAATTTAGCCATTACTAAGCATTCCGACCATTTTTTTTCTTAACTTATCTCGTGTAGTTTTTCTAGAAATATTCTCCTAAAAGTTTAAATAAAACGTGACTTTTGTAGGCTTTAAACCCATATTATAACGTATATATTCAGTTCACAGTTAACGTATTTTATTGTCGAGTGAAAGAAGTAAACCGAACCTCTAATATAATAAGCACTATACCGATGACGTGTGCTGACTGGAGCACTATAAGTAAATATTAGCTATTAGGGCCAAATTTGTTTTCCGTTTGATAATTTCTGTTATCATTCTAATAAGCTGTCTGTGAGCTGGAAAACCAGAAGATCAGACTAAACTTGTATAAAAAATATTCTCTTACCGTTTATTTGCTAAAAATTTGCCTATACTCGTAAAAAGGAAAATGGGAAATAATGTCTGTGAGAAATCAGCAATGTATGAAACACATATTCGCTACATTGAACCCTAAGCTGTTACGAGTAAATAGTTTAAACTGTAGCTTAGGTCAGGAAGGGACCAACTCGTTGTAACTTTGTAACTTTTGGCAAATGCACTTTTAGTTTTTATTTTCCATATGACTACAATATTGTTAACCTGTACGACCGCTATTAGGATGATCCTGATTGTTTTGAATCCGAATTGAATGAAAGCATCTCGTCCCATCAAATCCGTCATAATAATTCTCTACACCGTCTGATATATTTTTAAACCACATATTTTATGAGCGTTAAAATTAATGTAGTGGGGTTTTTTTTTTTTTTTTTTAGGAAAAACGCTTTGTCCGAATTGGCCGCACAGTGGAACCCGGCGTCCGAGGAGTTCGTGCAGATAGGCGTGCGAATGGAATCCTGTACGGACATCGTTCAGCCCTGCGAGGAGTACAACGATTACACTAGAAAGTGAGCGATTGTAGCTTATAATGGTGGTCGATTTTCCAGTCGGATTTACTCTAATTATACAAAGTTGTTATTATTGTTTTGCCAGGACTGACCGCGGTGACGTCGAGATAACGTTTGACGACGCTCTGGTGCAGGACGACACGTCCGGACACCTGCAGGCTAATCAGCTGGCCGTCGACAACCTGACCATGGACTGGGTACGGAACAAAATGACTGAGCTCGAAACCCGACTGAAGGAATGCCAAGAAGCCATGGAAACCAGCCTCCTTGACAATAGTTCGGATAACAATTCGTAAGTCATGGTCAAAGAGAGCCCATGCCGGACCAATAGTTTCTCTAACGATATGCCGATAACCTAAAAATATAGTGACCCTACGGGCTACACGAATTATTCAAATTATTTGAATCGCTAGTGTTTAAATTTATTTTTTCTTATGTCTATCTCAAACGTCTATCGATTAGGCGTTAGTAATTTTGCACCGCTGTACGCACAATGTACCCGACCGGTTGGTATAGTCGATTTAATTTGTTAACGTCCGCGTTACAGCCAATAGACGTGTCGATTATTGATGGCACAATCGAGATCCCAATCGGTACACGATAATCCTATCCGCCTGCCGTTTATATGTATATACATATGTATTGCCACTATATTATGTTCAACCATTTGAATGATTAAGGTGGTGTACATATAATATACCTGACCTTTTGTTGGTTTTAGCAATCGAATACCACGTCAGAGCGGCAACATAGGTCGACCGAGAAATCGTTTCGCGAATGTCGGTTTACCGTTAAGGAACTTTGAATAGACAACCGACACTACAAAAACAGTCGAAACGTTTCAATTATCAATCAATACATTTTCAACAGGCTATACTAATATTTTTTATGAGGCTTCACCTTCCTGACCTCCTACTTATGTCTCCCTACCCTAACTTTCGTCTTTGTTCCATTTATCCGTTGAAGGATAATCTACAACATACTACCAAATATTTTTTAAATAATTTAGAATGATAACCACACGCCCACGGTTTTTTTTTTGACAAATCTTGTCTAAATTGTACTATGAAAAACGTTTGTCGTTGGAAAATAGCTGTGACCGAAATATCATTAATTACATATTTCGATGGCTCAAGGCCCGTTTTATTACTCTTATAATAAATATAGTTCCATAAAATAACATTATTTACATGGCTTAACAAAAAAATGTCATCCCACTTTATTAAAAAAAAATATTGTGCGTGGGTTATTGGATTATTGCCATTTACTCATCGTACTTGAAAATATATATTTATATAATATTAGCATTTAACTGTACACTCGGGATCAGTTGTTTACTACGAGTAGGTACTGTCAGATTAAAAAAATTGTATTCTCTTATTTTTAGCGATTTACCTCTGATCGAACTCAGGAGCGAAGAACACCGACTTCAAAAACAGGTGGAAGTGATAAAAAAAGCGCTGTTCGAAATCGGCTGCGAAGAATTGCCGTCTGGCTGTGACTTACCGTCGTTGGACATTAACGATTTGGACATTATCGTAAGTAGACATTTTTTTTTTTCTTTTAACAATTTTTTTTCTATTCTCGTTCGTAGTAGAGTTATTTTAAGCCGATCGTTTTATGCCGTTTTCGCGCAGGTCGAGGGATCGCTGAAGAGGCCGTCTCTGGGAAACGTCAGCCAAGCATCGTCCATGATGACCATAGCCACTACACTGGCCACGTCCAGCCTGGTGGACATCCTGCGCAAGCCTTTCCGCCGCAAATCGGTACCGAACTCTGGTAACGGCGGTAACCCGTCGGCGGACAACAACAATTCCACCATGCAGACCGCCGCGGTGACCACGACCACGGCCAGCTCAGGAGTAGGTTCAAACAACAGCGATAACGGGAACCACTACCAGTCCGACAGCATGGACGGCAACGACGGGTCGGTCATCGTCGACATGCGACCGATCGTCACGCCTTTGCCGTACCAAACGTTTGCCGACAACAACGCTAACAACTTTGTGCCTAGTGTGGTAAGCTTTTGCCCTAACACCGTTAATCCGTCTTCTACTGTCATTTCAAAATACAGGTTTGTTCGGTTCGCATTAAAATCACTCGCAACAAATCCCAAAATCATTTCACCACCCAAAACTAGGATGCTCGATCGAAACTTGGGAACTCGAATTAATTGTTCAGTTATCGTTGTACCTACACAATTGTACACAATCATACTTTCGAATTTGTTTATTAATATGTCTATTTCTGTCCCCTTCCTCTGCCCTTATCAGCTGTCTCTTACCTCATCTGACGTCATCGGTCGTGACGTGAAAAAGTCCACGTTACTTTTGGATTGACCCTCCCCCCCCCAGTCATAAGACATAATATTCATGTCAAAGGCTATATTCCCTCTACTCATCTGGTGTAGATACGTCATCTTTCTTTTAATTTTTCCACCGTCGGCACGTACGGAAACACGCTACAGTTTCATTGCACACGGTTTCGGTCACATCCTTTTTGCAACTTAATTTTTCAGAATTACGAATAAAATATTACAAAGAATTCAGATAAAAATATACTTACGAGTCAATCGAAAACCTCTTCTTGGCGGTTACGCCATGGTATTCATGTGAATGCACTTAAAAGATGGTTGTTGGGGTTACATTTATGAATTTATTTAATTTCTCGTTTCATTGCCTGTACATCAAACGAACGTGTATTAAAATTACCGCATATACAACATAGTAATAATATCATAATATACCCATCGAACTGCGGTTTGTTTCGTTACACGGGTCGTATATGCATTGTATAAATGACAGTTATTATCTATTCAGGTAAATCCCCGTACGTCTGTAAATGACTCAGATAACGCGTGGTGCCTACTTAATAATATGCTAATAGAAATCATTCCGTGTGTGCTCGTCAATAATAATGTTACGTTTTATTATTCCCATTAACCGAGTTCGTGTGTGGCAAGAATAATATTGTTTTTTTACACTGTGCGATTGTTGTTATTTAGTCGCGGGCTTGTAAAGTATTAACAATGCAGAGAGGGTTTGATCCCGTCACGGTTTTTTTTTTTTAGTTTTCTCACGTCGTTTGTGTTTTCGAGACGTCTTGCTTTTTTTTTTGTTTGTTTGCAGTGAAATGTCTTAGAGACGTGCCGGGAATATATACGGTGGTTGTTGTGTCATTAATTAATTAATATTGTCTCGTCTCAGATCGGTTCGTCGACCAAGTCGCTGATCGAAGAAGAATGGTTTCACGGAGTGTTGCCCAGAGAAGAGGTGGTCAGGCTGTTGACGAAAGAAGGCGACTTCTTGGTGCGGGAAACGACCAGAAACGACGAAAACCAGACGGTACTGTCCGTCTGTTGGGGAGGTCACAAACACTTCATAGTTCAGACTACTTCTGACGTAAGTATTGTTGCGGACGATAAGACGACCACCGATAATAACACAATTTTCGTTTATACTTAACGCAGGGCGAGTTTCGATTCGAGGGACCCTCGTTTCCTACCATCCAAGAGTTGATCACTTATCAGTATCAGAGCGCGTTACCGGTGACCAGCCGTTCGGGGGCCATACTTAGGCAGCCCATACCCAGAGAGCGATGGGAGCTGAACAACGACGACGTGATGCTGCTCGAGAAAATCGGCAGAGTAAGCTAGAATAATAATTATAATAAATGGGCTATCTGTTTCCTGTAAAGATTTATTATTAGTACGGACACCGAGTTTTCACAAAAAAATAGATTACATTATTAGTTGGCTATTACCTCAATAAAACAATTTCACAGCCGGAATTCGTATCCAACTTATCTTTTTTACATAAAGGCTCATCGTTTAAAAAATTCATAAGACAGGGACATAGGCTATAGCATATATTATTGCAAAATATTAATTTAAATATAAGACATGAATGTACACATATCAGTTAAGTACTTATGAGTCTTTTTACGATATTTTTTAAGGGGTATTGTATAGGCAATATTATACAAAACTCGTTTTATCACAGATTTGATTTATATCAATTTGCGCATACCGCGATTTGCTTTAAAACATTATTTTCATACTGGCTGTAGTGGTATGAACTCAGATTAAAATGTTTGATTTTTTTTTTAATGTTCAAACATTTTAACACAGTTGGAATATCGATAATGTACCATAGTCTTATACCAATGAGACTCCTGGACAACATACGTTGAAATGAGGTGCCTTTTTTAAAATTCAGAGCCGAGATCCTTGGCTGGGCTCGCTCAGGGTCCGTAGTAAGTACGGTCCCGGTTCGGACAACAAAACTTGCTGAAACTAGGATATTAAAATTTCTCTTTCGCTCTTATATTTATATGCGTTGGTGGTATTGACGATGGCTTTTTTCCCTCGCAGGGCAATTTCGGCGACGTCTACAAAGCGAGACTGCGGTCGACCAGCAAAGAAGTCGCGGTGAAAACGTGCCGAGTTACCGTGCCCGACGAGCACAAAAAGAAATTCCTACAGGAAGGTCGGATCCTCAAACAGTACGACCATCCCAACGTCGTCAAGTTAATCGGTATCTGCGTGCAGAAACAACCGATAATGATAGTCATGGAACTAGTCGCAGGTAAAAGAAAACAAAATTGGAAAAGAAAAGAAACCTACTGGCCGGTTGGGCGCGTGCCACGGCCGGCTTTGGCCACGATCAATCATTTAATAATATAGCTGACCGCGCACTTACTTACACATGTTACATTGTCCGGGTGTTTCTTGTTTTGTACACAGGCGGGTCTTTGTTGACGTATTTAAGAAATAACTCCAAGACCTTGACTGTCCTTCAATTGGTCTCAATGTGCCGCGACGCCGCCGCCGGTATGATGTACTTGGAGAGCAAGAACTGCATACACCGTGATCTCGCAGCCCGCAATTGTCTAGTCGGTGAGTGCATAATGCATAATATGGTTAATAACGTTTGATGATATTTTTAAGACACGATTGCCTGCCATCATTCGCGAATAGGTCGCATTTGTTTGTATGTATGCATGTACTAAAATTTAAATCGCCAACAGCAGTAACTGAATAATTAACGCAAAATATGCCGTCTTTGTATCGTATCCGTAGTCGGCAACACCTTAGATCGAACATATTTTGCGTAGATAGACCACACCGTGTTTTTTTTGGCAACCTGTAGGGTTCTCCACTGATGCCTAATGGACACATGTTATACGACCAATTTATAAAGGTATGGTCAACTATATAGGGTTGCGTCCAAAACGTGGTTGCCAGAAAAACCCACGGTGTGTGGTCTGTCTATTTGTGTATCTAATCTATGACGGCGACCTGTATTTAATATTATACCTAGTCATAATAATATTTGTTTTTATGTCGACTCAGGTGACAGCAACATAGTGAAAATTTCCGATTTCGGTATGTCCAGAGAGGAAGAAGAATACATTGTGTCGGACGGCATGAAACAAATACCGATCAAGTGGACGGCTCCTGAAGCCTTAAATTTCGGTAAGATGTTGTTTTTTACATATTACAGCATTGGGGAGGGGCAGAGTTTCCTGCATATCGTAAAGGTATAAACATTTATGTGCTTAATGTTTATTTTGATAACGTTCGTCATAAGAAATGCTCAGGTTAGACATAATACTTATGAATTTCAATCATCGGTGAAACTTGGATATTTTTTACCCAACGCCTAGATGTATGTGTAACGTCATATTATCAGAACGGCTTTAGACAGGTTGTCTGGAATTTTTTTTTTATTTGTTACAAGACCTTGAAATGTTACGATGCGGTTGATTTCATTTGAAAATGTAACATTCGGTTTTAAACAAGATGAAGCATACACGAACGGGTTTTTATAGCATAATTTTCCGTGGAATTTCGTGGGTTAGACGGAATTTGTTATTAATTTCTTTTTTTCGACAGTAACGCTAAATTAATTTTTTTCGCATGTTTTATTATAATTATGTACAGTCAAAAGGTCGATCATAGATTTCATTTGAAGTGTATAATTGAGTCATATGAGTAGGTACATACCTACTCACTACTATATATTTTCCTCAAATATTGGACAGCAATTTTACTAAGCACAATGTTAAAAAAACTATACTTCATTTAACACCAAAAAAAAAATGCAGTGTACCCGAAAATATATTTGAGCAAATTCGTATATTTATATATATATATATATATTAGTTAATGCATATTAATGCCTGCTGTTAATTCGGACGAAAGACATGTTTCCGTTGAATACAATAAACATCTTAAAATTACCATCATCAGCACGAGCTAATTTTTTTTTTTTTACAGGAAAATACACAACGCTTTGTGACGTTTGGAGTTACGGTGTTCTGTGCTGGGAAATATTCGCTAGAGGCGGTACGCCGTACAGCGGACTTAGCAATTCAAAAGCTCGAGAAAAAATTGATACCGGTAAGACGCGGTCAAAATTGACATTAATATTGGTCGATTAGCTTTTTCGCTTAATAAGGTATCTCACGCCGTGGTGTTTTGGTCATTTTACATAGGAATGGTGTGTAAGCTTGTCAAACAGCGGGAGACACACTGTATATATAATAATAAACATAGATATATTTAGTAAACTAGATCGCTAACTAAGGATAAGAATAGAAGTCTACGTCCGCCATTTTTGTGAGATTGATGTGTGTATAAAATAATATACATATATATATACATATATATGATTCTGTGTTATCAACTTAATTTATAATTGTTATAAACATATTTTCATGTAAGGTTCTAATTCCCACAAAGATGACGAAAAATGGTAACTGCAATTTTTTTTTATTGCATGTACACTTAGCAATCTAGTTTATTATATACGTCTGTGATTGTAACCTTTACCAGGCCCCGGACACTGATACAAATTAACACGGGGAAGACGCTTATCAGTTATCGCAAAAAAACGCAGCGGCCATCCTAAGGCTATACCACTATAATGTTATATCTATACATTATTATTTTTAGTTGTGTATAGATATAACACTAAATAGGTCTTTACAAAATGGTAGTCACTTTTCAGTTTACATTGAAAGCGACCCTTCTACTTTTATTTATTTTGTGCCATTACCCACTATAGCCTCGGTCTTACCCGTTTTCCTATTTTCTTTTCCCAATTTTTTCTGAATTTCTTTTCCGCCTTGCTTGCATTAAACCACTCTTAAGCCTCTCCTTCCCTGGATAATTTACCTAAATTCGTCTTATTTCGCAGGCTACAGGATGCCGGCTCCCGAGGGAACGCCGGAGGAAGTTTACCGGTTGATGTTACAGTGTTGGCAGTACCAACCCGAGAACCGTCCGCACTTCGATCGGATCCACGCGTCCATGGAATCGCTGGTGAAATCTCTGAGGTAAAGTTAAAGATCATCGTCGAGAGCCGGGTTTTACCCTAACCTGAGTGTTATGAATACTATCTCTTGTGTCCACGTAGCTTTGGCTTAATTAACGCGAAAATTGTGTGTGTGTGTGTACGTTTTCAGTCCGGTACCGCCTAAAATGCGCATCGTCGACGGTGCTAAGTCCAACGACATTTCCAACGTGGCTCTGTTTATGTTGCGCATATGACGACGACGACGATGACGATGATGATGATCGAGGATCGATGATCTATTTGTTGGGATTTGTTTCATTTATTTTGTTTTTTGCTAGGCCGGCGTACAGGTGGACCGCATCGTCGTGTCTCCGGAAATGGTAATCATGGCGAACGGTCAGTAGTGCAACCGCCGCCGTGTTATGTTCTTCCGAAATGTGATCGTTTTTAAATATTAATTTATATTATATATTGTTACTCGTACCTATTATAGTAATTATTATTTATCACCGGACACATTGTATTATTATTGTTGTCGATTTACATATTATATTTTACAAGTCATGATGTGTTGTCAAATTTGTGCACGCGCTCGACCGTCCGAAAGCGACGAAGGCCTTATACATGTTTATTATTGTATTTGTAAATAACATTATGTGTTGGATACTAATATCAGAAGTCAACAGTTGTTAATACGACCGGTTAAAGAACATTAGGAAAATATTATTATTTTTAATAACGGTAATATTATAACGTGATAAAAGTCGAGACACGACGACCTTTCTCGTTTACAATATTATATACCATATTTTTATGTACCTATAATTTACATTATTATAATTTGTTACCTGCAATGTTACGAAAAATTATTATTATTATTATATTATATTTTTATTATTATTATATACGCTCAAACGATATGATTTTTGGACTTTATCGAAAACGGAAAAAATCTCAGTCAATAGGTGCTATTTTACTTATGTTAAGGATAAGGTAGAACAAAAAAAAAATAATGATTATGATACGAAAAATATTGTTCTAAGTAATTAGAACTACACTAGTTTGTTGATCTAAATCGGTGCCAAATTCAAACAATATGTCATTGCAAATGTCTATATTTTTACTGTTTAAACTTGTTTTTCTTTAAAAAAATTGTTTGAATTTTAATATAACTTCAATATAATGTTTTACATAGAAATATGTATATTTATACAATATATTATAAAGAAATTACGTTTTTTTTATCGTCTTGTTGTGTCGACCTGTTAAAATTTTAATTTAATTCTATGTATATTATTATTATGTTAATCGATAAATTTCTAAGTATATTTATTACGTTATTCGGCCAGATAAATAGCATAGGACGCTGTAACAATCAATCATGTTTTATATTAGTATAAATAAATAAAAATACGGAGTGCTTTCAAATCGAACCATAAATGTTTTGTACGTTTATGACTAAGATGTGTTATTTTATATAGTATTATATTTTTAAATTATGAAATATATATTTTAATAAATGTTCTATGAAAATATCCTCACGTCTAAATCAATGTTGTTTTCTTAGAAAATATTAAGTCAAATGCAACGGTAAACTTAAAAACGTCAGTTTCCAATAATCAAATTTATAATCAATGTTCAAATGTAATCAATGTTCTTTTTTATTTAAATATCAGCTTTTGCCTCATCTGGACAATCTGGTCATCATTTATTTTTATTATACGCTTAACTATTGTAATAGTTGAAGAATTCAAATAAATTTTCAAAACTTAAATCTGAGTATTCATAAAAACGTACATTTAAAAGTAGAAACATGTTATGCATTTATCTAAAAATAAGGTGTGTACAAATTGAAAAAAAATTGAATATTAAAATAGATATCTCTTTGCTGTGTTGATATACGAGTTAAAATATGTTAGCTTCATGTTAATTTTTATTGAAAAATTGCCTATACAATGCGCCTTAATAAATGCTAGTGTAGAGATCAAAAGAGATTAAAAGATCAATGTCAATTTTTTAACATTCTGAAAAAATCATGTTTTTAATTTCAAAACGTAATACATTTTGGCTGTATGCCTAAACTTCCGGCGGTCGTTACTCTCGACTAATCTATTTTTTTCCCTGGTTCGAGCGCATAAAAGATACAATACATCAATACAAATAATTTGATACCAAAATCTTATTTTCAACAAAAATTGACATTGATCTTTTTTCCCCGCAGCCCTTCATTTATATTTTATCTATGATATAAGTAAAAATATTTTTCTATTACCTTATCCATAACCATTTTCACACCGCAGATCATAGTTTTTGACAATGCTCGCAATAAAGTTTTTGTGGGGGACAGACATTCCGGGAGGTTATGACCTCATACTTAATGCTTAATTAATACTTATATATTTATATAGCATACTAGCAAAACTAATTATCTAACTTTTTTAAAAATTTGGAAAAAACTGTTAAAAATGTTTAAATTAATGTTATAATATATACAACGTGTAATTTCTTTTAATTGCTCTTCATTTGAAGTTATTTTTTAAATTGTGTTTTACATTAAAAACGTTTAACCAAGTGAGTATTTGTATGTTAATCTTGCTATAAAATCTAAGCCCGTTTATTATGATTTCATAGTAATTTTAATTATTAAATATACTTTTTTTATTATTTCCAGTCAAACTAAAAAAAAAATTGAATATATATTTTTTTAATCACAACTATCCAAAATTGTGTTCAATTTATAATATTTTATAAATTAAAACTGTTTTGCATACTTATCATTTTACTACAACATTGTAGTCGGGTATAACACCGAAATTTTTTTTTTCCAAATGTTGAAACCAGATTTACAGTTATTTTCAATTAATTTGCAAAATGTTAACACTAGTTTGGAGTCGATCTATTAAACTCGGGTGGCTCTGTGAATGTGGCCCCCCGAAAAATTATTTTGGTAAAACGTGTAGGAAAAATTATTTACAAATTCTGAAAACCAATTTACAATTATTTAAAATTAATTTACAAAAGTTTGACACTAATTTGGAATTGATAGGATAATGTAGGGGACCAACTTCATGTACATCTGCCGCGAGTCGCTGGACGCTTAATCGGCGATTTTAAAACGTCTGTAACTTCCAAACTAAGTGCAATAGGCGCAAAATATTTGCAGATTCGTAATCTACATGAAACAATCTAAAATTATCTATTCGAGAAAAAAATTTTGAAGAAAAAAGGTGTCTTGTAGAGTAAATTTATACCGGTTAGGTCACATTTAGGCACTTTTTGAGATTTAGCGTACCTATATCTAAAAAAGTAGAGCTTATAGGAAAAATCTGATGACATATTTGAAATCAGCACTTCAAATACTATAAAAATCAGCAGGAAAATCTTACGCACCAGAATGTGTGTTGGCCAGTGTTATATACAATATGAAGTAGTCTTTAGATTTTTTAGGACTTATGTTAATTTATGCTCTTCTTTGTTAAACCTGCCTAAAATTATAACTGTTCCCGAGAGATGGAATAACCAAGTCGTTGTTCGCCTAAATTTATTCGTCTAGTTTTGAAATACAGATTCCATATAATTAGCATTGAAATTTGGATAAATATTCGATAATAAAAAAGCATATTAGAAGTAACTCAGTTTTTAAAATAATATTATGGTCTCGGCCGTTTCAGTCCGAGGTAAAGTTAATACATCTAAATATATTTTGTTTGTTATTAAAAAATATGATGAGGTCAATTACAGTTAATAGTTCAATAAAAGCGGAATCTAAACGCAATACCGCGCACCTGGTGGATTTCACGGTTTATTTTTTGGAATCTATATCCACTCCGCGTGTTGACGGTTCGTGATCCGTTTGACCCCGATTGAGAAATAAAACGTGTACAGCGTTTTTAAAAATATTTTGTTATTATTATACTTATACCGAAAAATCTGAAACGTACATCCAACACAGATCCCGTGCATCTAACACTTGCATTGTGTTTACTGTTTTGTAACGCGGTGTTTCGTCTTCAACACGAACTACAATAATAATAATAATAATAGATATAATGATTGTGTTAAGTGCACTCTTCTCAAACCACTCCACTCCGCCGGCCGTTATTGTCCCACAACACACACTTCACACCCCTCAACGTATCGGTCGACTGTAGGTATAATAGCGGTATCGCATAGGCCATAGAGATACACGCACACAGTATTTCCGGACGATTCATGCGACCGAGATGATGACTCCGAGCCCTGTGGAAACCGGTTCTCCGAATGAAGACTGGACAAGCGTCAAACGGATTAGAATTCTCGTCGCTTACATAGTTTCTTATAATAAAATATATTATTATAGGTATACATGCAGTATACCTACTGCAGAGGACGACGCCGTTCCCGATCATCGCGATGCGCATTAAGCGATCGAAGACGTTTTATGAGCCCAACGGTATTCCTATATAGTAATATATCTACTCGGCTAATGCGAACGACTGTTAATAATATTGTGTGTTACCTACCGCTTTTGTAATTTAACGGGAAAAACAACCGAGTGTCTCCGAGCACAATAACCGACCGACGCACAGTTGTCTAAAATCTAAAAAACGCGATCGAAAATCGATTTTCCAAGTTAGACTTAGGAAACTGATAAAAAAAACTATATTAAACAGGTTTCAGCTGCCGAAACTTAATACTAATTAAGTAGTCTAAAATCGAAAAAGATGATAAAATATGATACAAGCTAGATTTTAGTTTAAAATACTAAGAAGGCAGTCGATTTATATGTTTTCGAGGTTGCTGAGTTCAGCAACTACACGAACTTCTACACGTCAATTCGAACTACACGTGTAATCGGTAGCTCTAAAATATATACTAGAGCTTAACTTAATATTATGATTGTTAGCATATTTAGATTCATGTTGGTGCGACTCACGTAGGAATTCCTGATGCAAATAAGTCGTATGATAAGCTCAAAGCCAAAACTAGCCGCTTATGATACAGATGAAGACATTGATTTTTTGATTTTTTGATTTCCAATTGGTTTTACCGCGCGTTATTAATGCGTTACAATTAAACGACGACGATATCTTCTGTGAACTCAACAATATCATCTTAAAACAAGGTACGGATTATTTTATACAAAACACAGACTATATGTCTGAAAAATTCCAACATGAATATAAAAGGTTATACCATGTTTTAAATATTCCACTATTAGAATATTCGTCACAACCGGTTCATCGCCAATCGGAAAAAGCAACAACAGTTATTGGTGAACTTCAACTGTACTATAACGATACTCTTGAATTCGATTTATATCAATCTTACATAAAGTTTATCAATGACTATAGCGATCGCATTTCCATGTTTTTGCAAGACTTGAATTGAGTAAAACTGCATTTAAAAAACTTAATAATAATTTGTAAGCTTAATACCAAACTCGAAATAATTTTTTTTGAGTTTTTTTCTAACTGTTTATTTTTTTCCTGTGCTCATTAACACACAACCAGTTTAAAATCCTCGTTAGTCGTTAAGAATAAATAAAGAATAAAATTAATCTTTGTTTCATAATTTTTATTCAATTTACGCGTACAACGCAATTCATACTAATTAAAAATTATATAACAGATTTTGAAATAAAATAATATATTGAACATACTAACCAGGTGTAAGTCATTTCCATTTAAAGATATTTTGTTAATTAAATACCGAAAACAGAGCACAACTAAAAATGTAATTAACTTATTCGTACCACTCATTAAGTTAAAATGGATGTAAAATGTAAATACATTTTTTGTTTTATATTGAAAATCTAAAAAATTGTTTTTTTTTTAATTCGACTGTTTAATGCATTAACATCTTATAATTCAAAGGTTCAAATTAAAATTTTAAATTATGAACTATTTTATAAAACAAAAATGCAATTTCATATTTTTTCCTGTTTGTTTAAAATTGTTTGGGCCTATAAGCTATAACCTATTTGGTGTTCACAACAAATTTAAATGATAAGCTAACATGTATAAATTAATTATTAAATTAAATTAATTTATTGAAAGGACAGTGTCCTCATTTCAGCTCTTGACAGAATAGGTTTAAAAAATGATCAGTCCGCGAGTAATAAAATGCGTTTAACCATTGTTCGCCTTGAACGCAACTTGTGCCCATGTACATCTATTATAAGTCCAATTTTAGCCTTCGCGGTAATTTTGCTTCAATTAACATTGATCATAAAATGCACTTTTATGTTCTACCTTCTCGTTTGTGAATATGTACAAAAAAATCAAAATATTTGTTTAACGGTTCTGCGACAAGGAGCAATATAATTATTACATTTTATACAAAATTACTGTTTTTCGATTTTAGTAATTGGATACACTCTACATAAGTATGAAATGGTGACAAAGAAGAACTAGTGCGCCGAAACAATACATCATTATTGGCTTGTGCATGAAGAACCATGCGTTCACGTACACTGTACGTTTTTGACCATTTTTCTCTGCTTGTGTAATAATATAAACAAATACACACAATAAATTTTAATAAATTAACGAACCGGTCTCGTGAGAACATTAAATATTGTATTAATATTCACTTAAACTCGAGTAATTTTTTATTTTTAACGTGTCTATGTAGGTACGTTTTTGATTTGAGCAACTTATACATCTTAATCGTAGTCATTTTACGACCGTATCATGCCATATTATATAGGTGTAATTTAATTATAATATTAAAGCTAAAAAATGTCATACCACTCATAATGCTATTCATTATTCTATCAATCTAATTGACATATATTCGTGGCATAATTCCGTTTTGATAAACTTCCGTGTCGAAAAACCGAACAAAAAACTGAAATTTGTCCACCCGGCCACTAAGAGTTGTAAAATATTCATAAAATCTTTGCTTCGCCGAGCTACTTGCTACCAAATGATTGGGTCTTAACAACAATTATACATTTGATCAACCGAGATTAATTTCACTTGTCAACGGTAACACTGTTCTTTGCAGTTTGTCATACACTATTCCGTGTACAGGACAGCATGTACTTATCGATAAACATGCGAGAAAACACAAGTCGTTTGACGCAATACACTTGTACTTGTATTCCACAGGACATTCAACAACTTAATGTGTCTCGAGGGGTTAAAATTTATTGCTTTACTCACGTGTGTTATAAATCAAACTCGGTTGGGCCATTTCATTATATTTGTTGTCGCACGTTTTTTGAATAACAACAAAGGCGCCAAACGTATCGAAACAAAAGTTAATTGTCTATAGATATATATTTTATACATTTCTCCATAGCGGTCAGGTACACACATAGCAGTGTAAGTTTATTTTCGATTAGTAAAACACGAACACCACTTGTGGGGATTATTATTGCGTTGATTATTTATTGTTTTTGTCCGCGTTAGTTATTAGATGGACTTTTCAAAACGGCTAAGAGCTTTGTTTTTGTGAATATAGATCAACCGCAGTTGAACAGCATTTTGTTTTCTCTATTTTAAAACAGTTGTTGGTCGTGATACATGAACGTATTATGGCAAACCGGTTCGTCGAATTGCTATCGATACATCCTTGTGTGTTTTTCGTATTAAGAATTTTATTTGTATTTTAGAACTTCGTATCTATTGGTTTTCTACGGCGCTTTTGTACTTTGTATTGATCGAGAATAGAGACTAAGATCCGGGAACGGATGCAACATTATATTTCTATCTAAGTACTAGTATAGTACTTGATAATTTTAGTTGTCCAATGATTACCTGCGTGCAGTACCGCTCTGATCAATTATGTTAATGCCTACATAGTACTAAATATTATTTTGAAAATCATTAGATAAACTTAAGAGGCGATTTTCACAGTTAACAAAGGATTATAAATGTGTTTCAACTTTAGCTATTGCAGTTGTCATAGCTGCCGATGACTTGTCAAATAATAATTGATATACTGTTTGCTGGGCAAATAGCATTATATATTCTTATATAATAGAACTAAATTGTCAAACGTTTCCCTGCGTGAGTCTGGCGCTCGATTGTACAAAAAAGTATGTACAATAAAAATACAATTTATTTACCGAGTTTAATTTTTTTTACTTAGTACCGTTACCGGTTACACGTGACCCGACGGTCTGCAGTACTATTGGGTATAATATGTTTAAATAAAACATACATAAATTAATTGCCGCACGATTCACACGTTATTATCGCAGGGAACGGCTAACTGTTGTTGTACAAATAATAATAATGATATGCATGTGAATTGGGAAATATTTTTCAACTCAAATTCCTCAAGATCAGCACAATGACCAGACACCTATGGGAAATGCTCCTCACACAGGTGATACATTTTTCGAACTTGATTGTGGGGGTACTGCGCCGGTGGAAATTAACGTTACGCGAGCAAACGACAACAGAACTCGGGTATACCTATAGCGGTATGGTATCTGACCCTATTCCACCTATTTACTGGCTGTGGGTATGATAATAATATTACCACTATATTATGGTGTATAAGAAGAAAAATGGCGAGTCGCAGACCTTGAACGCAAGGGAACGGTGGCGCGCGCGCTTGTCAAGAGAATTCGACGGAGTAGAGGAAACTGGTTCTGGTCTGTGACCACTAGACCTCAGCCGGCACCGCATTACAGTTTACACGGACCAGTCGGTTCGCCCGGGTCTTTGGCGTTTCTACTAGCTTGTCGGTGTAGTGCATTCGAACAGCTCCGAGTAATCTCGTACATACAAATATTTGTATACTTACAAGAAGTTACAACACACACACATTTATATACCGTTAACCCTCGTGTGTTGGAATTCGCGCGCGTGCCGTTTGCCTGTTGTACCGTCGTGCAAACTTGTCCGTCGACATGTAACGGAAACGATAGTAGTGGATAACCGACGTGCGTGCGAACGGTCAAGCCGTTAAAAGTTCTATCAAAGGCCAAAATAAGAAAAAACAAATTTTTTTTAAGAAAAAAAACCCCCGTCAACTGCATTTGCTAAAAGTGAGTTTGTGTCTGTATTATGTAGTGTGTTAAATGACAATGTACTTACGGTAGGCTTAACGTGACTTGTACATACCATAAGCGGCTAGATAAGCAAAAGCCACATTTTACGGTTTTTAAAAGTACAAGACAATACACCCGCGATAACCGCTCTTGCTCGTTTTGGACTTTTGTTTTTCTTGCACTGATTGGCTACGATAAAAAATACTTGTGAATGCTATATAATTTTTTATTTTGAGCAAATTAAAAAAAAGTCTAGTCCCGTTGTTGTGCACTCGTGCCACACCTGATCACTATTTTTTTTCTTATGAATGCGTTTAAATAATATGTACACGATGAGGAGGACTATTAGCCTGTTCAAATGCAAAACGTTTGTTATCTTGTAGCGTTAAAACGCACTACGCCGTGCATTATAATATACATTATGTAAGCTATTAAAGCGTATGCATAAACATCGTCGGTCATTCTAATAATGTATTCAACAAACTAGAGATACAAATAAGCCTTAAGCCATTACTGTTTTTCTGAAAAAAATAAGCAGTAACTATAGTAACAAGTTACAAACAAATTTTTTTGCGTAACTTCAAAGTTACTTTTATCTCATTTGTAACTTGTACTTACCAACCGGTTATTTTTGTACCTTATTTTCCTATCCCTATTTATTTCTTATTTTCTTGTTGGCAAAACATTCATCTATTGCACTTGTCCTCAGTGGTGCACATCATATGGTAATAGGGTGTCTGTTTATTAAATGCACCCTTATTATAATTGGTGGGTGGGTGGGTGATATATGTATACACGGCAAGCTTATTAACCTATAATTGTCCCTGATTGAGAGGTAGAATAGATAATTTAAAGGTGTTACGACACGGAGTACCGGTCTAAAAATATATTGTGCTTCACTGCTTGTCCTCTTTAATTTTTTGACCATATTCCTAGAGATTTTGTGAGACTGAGAATTATGTTTTATACTGATAGCTCTCCAAAAAAAGCATAATATTCCCCAGCAGCAAAAACATTTCAATAGTGTCGTGAACACTTTTTTTTAAATATCTCTTTACCATATTGATGTTTTGATATTTTATAGCATTCTTTAAATATTTTAAAACTGTATAATTTTTTTTTCTGTTCTTTGAATGGGTTTGTGTGTTAAAAGTGTTTAATGCTGTTAATGAAATGACTACACATTGATGAGGTATTATTGCATCAAACTATTTGACACGTCTAAGCGACCATTCAGTCAACGCACCAGTACACGTCCCTAACAGGTGCTATAAATTATTGTACATTCATTCATCATGTATCGTTAGTATTCCTATTGTTTTACCGATTACCGTTTATGCATAAGGTCTGATCACATTTATAGGCTTTTAATGACAATGTATGTTAAATATAATAGTCCTCAGTGTATTCCAGTTGATCAAAATAATAATAATAATAAAATAATAAATTGTTTTATTAATCAGTAAACGATAAAGTCAATGACATCGGTAAAAAAAAATGTATACAATAATTTTTTCTTAAGCTATAATACATAATACATCAAGTCGTTAATGCGTCTTGATAGTTGAGGTTTTTGGGAATGTCTCATTTCGCACATAATATGTAGTTTTAAATCTGATTCATTTGAATACCGACCATAGTTAAACAATATTAAATTTAAAAAAAAAATCACCGGATTTTTTATTTCCTTCTTATTTGCCTTATTTCATCGAAATTGGGTCGGACAGTCAAATTATTTGTCTCACCTGAACTCTAAATAACACATAATAAAATTGACCGGGTACAGTAAAAAATTACTCGGTCCATATATTGATAAATAAAGATTCATGTGTGAGCTAAATCTAATGGTTTTACTGGAATTATCCCCGTCTACGACTTCAGGTGTAGTAATGGCCATGACATTGTGGCATTCAATTTTTTTATGAACAAACTATGTACTTCCAATGCTGAATTGCCTTGTTGTGGCACAGTACATTTCACACAGTGCAAAACGGACAAACCGCTAGAATTTAGTGTGTCTCTCATTTAACGTCACGATTTAACCTGATTACAAATGGAACTGTTTTTTTTTTGTTTTTAAACAATAAATTAATTGTGGTCCTCAGACCAACTAACGGCCTAGGGAGACAAGAAGACAAATCCAAAATTTAAAAATTTGGTTTTAACTCCTAAAATCAAGTCCACCATTCTACATGCAGTCTGTATGACTATGACTAAAACTCATCAATAATTAGTAATTACCAAGTCACCGAATAAAACAAAGCCAATAAATCTTTTAAATAAAATACAAAGAAGCAAGTCAAAAAAGTACTTTTAAAATTTCAATTACAAAAATCTGTCAAGCGAGCTCAAAAAATATTCTCTTGTAACTGATAAAATAAATTAGTCTACCTGACACAAAACTCATTGTGAAAATAAGGCTCAATATTATTGTAATTTAAATAATAACACGTTATTAAAAAGTCAGATAGCACATTTGATGGGGAGGGGAAGGGGTTGGTAGACCTATTAGTGCAAAAGCCACATGTCTCAATCGCTCACCTGGATCCACGCCTATGTTTGGGACATTTCATTCTGTATTTTACAATACTTCAAAAAACTGTCTTTTACATGGCTTAGCTTAGGTGTGACATAATTCCTCAGACCGTTTGTGTCGTGTGACTTGTGACGTAAATCCGCATAATACAATTTTTTTCTATATTGTTCGACTCTTTATAATATCATCATCGTGGACACGACAATATGTTATAATAATAGTATATATATATATATATATATATATATATATATTTATATATATTTCACGTGTGAATCTTGCGTGATGACTCTACAAACACCTAAACCTGAAATTGTAAGAGCATACAGTAGGCGGTTGTCGGTTTTGCTGCGGCTCTGTTAAACCACGGTTTAGACTACAATAATAATAATTAGTGCGGCGACTTCCCAGGTCGTTACACTCGACAAATCCGTATCAAACGGCAAACGTTCGTCGGTATTTTTTAACTCTAAGCCAATAAGTAGAATTATATACGTTGAAAAACAAATACTTACAAAAAAAACATGCATCCAATTAAGTTGCACATTTTTTTTCTTCAAATTTCTCTTAGTAATTCCGGAGACGCTAGCTGGCCTATGGGACAATAACTCTGTGTAGAAATATTTTCTCTACGTTTCTACAAGGTCTTTTTCTTTTTTTGTAAATAAATACAAAATGTATATATCTATATTTATTTTTTTGGCGCAACCGCGGAGCCGTAGGGCCTTGGACGATTATTTAGCCGAGTGAACGGCGTCTAGCAGCTGTATAACACAACACTCTTCGCAATGTACAGTGGGCAAGTACGTTGTTATTATATCAATTACCTATCCATAGGCCGTAGTGGTTGGTAAGGTGTTTTTTTTTATATTAGAAATTACATTTTTACAACAAACCAGCGAGGACGCGTGTGGCGAAGGCGATTCGCACGGTTATGTACATAGTTCTCGGGGTCTATTATATACAGCGGTACATTTGAATATAATTTATATATTTAAGGTTATCACCATCATTTATTTTATAAAGTACGTACGTGCACACATTGTCAATAAGAATAGAGCAGTGTATTATGTTTTCAACAGAAAATCTTTGAAGCGCGTTAGATATCTCTCTACGGTAGGTATAATCAGTGGTAGTCTCCAGAAAGTTTGGAGGCACAATCATAAGTGCAGAATATTTAAAGACCATCGCATCGTCCTGACTCCTGGCTCTTGATTACTTTTTATGCCATAAGTCGTAACGCTGTTCTTTATAAATAGAAAATAGAAAAATGTAATATTGCAAAAAGTAATTATATTTTTTTTCCTCTGTAATACATAATGTTGTAAAAATGAAATTCGTAATGACGATGAGTGATTTATTATACATCTATTTTGTCCCATATTCTCCTACTAATTACTATACAACAAATCGTGTCCATAATAATTATATATTGCTAGTAATAATGACATTAGGTATATATTGCATATGATATAGGTAAAAGATGTTTTACCTCGTGCATCAAATGTTTCTCGGTTTGTCTTTCAACCGCATAATATTATACGCTAAAATATATTATTATTGTACTTATAATACTAATTTGTGGTTATCAACAATTTGAAGAACATACAGGACTTTGAAAGAATAACGGTGTATCCAAGTTGCTCCTATATATATATATATATATATATATATATAGCAGCCGTGTTCGTTTATTCTTATTGTATTCAATACAAAAGAAAATTGCAATGATTTGCTTTTTGTCCATTTCGTGTGCTCGTTGTAAGGATAACACAGTTTTTTTTGTTTTAGGCCTTAGGGTGACAGTTGACATAAATTATTTCCTTCTATATGTAGTATTTAAGGTTTATCGCATGTTTCAGCTCAAACATAACAATTTTTTAAAAAAAAATTGTGATTAATAGATTTGGTAGGACTTATATGGAATTTAAGATATTGGTGTTGACTTATTAATGCTATTAACTAAAATTGTAATTTACTATTGTATATGTTTGCTAAATGGACGTTATTATTATTAATGAACTACCGCCGTTCAATCGATATTTCTGTTCAAATTATAAACACTGTTGATCTGCTCCATCGAGCATTTGTTAATATAATGGTTTCATAACGTATTGTTATCCGCGTTGGAGAGCCTTGTTTTTTTTTTTTGGTAGTTAATTGACGGGGTATTGCGCAAAAGAAGCTGCCCATCAACATACCTACCTCGTTTACATAGTACAAGTAAATAAAACTTACTAAAAAAAAATCGTGCCCTCTTCGTTTGAGTAGACATATACAAGAGGCAAATAATTCTTAATGCGTATGTCGTCGAATGCACGTGGAATTCAAAACGCGCATAGTCGTGATCGTACCGAATCCTACAGGTTATGGTATTATGTTTTTTATATATGTACTTATTTTTTTATGTACCGTAATGTCTGTTGAACCATGTGCCTGTCCTATGTGCTACGACGTCTTA